CTTGACCTCCTCTGTCTTTTTGTTGTCAGCTTGTGTTTTGTCTGGCCTTTCATCTGCTGCAGCTGATTTTGTGATATCCTCAGGCTTCTCTGAGGATGACTGAAACAGTCTACCAAAAACTCCACCGCTCGGTTTGGCGTCTGGTCTCTTGGCATCTTTCTGTTCAACTTTGTTTGCTCTGTCACTCCCACCTGGCGAGAAGAGCTTAGACAAAGGACTCTTTCCTTTGGACCAGGAGCCCAGTTTGCCCTTTGTCTTATCAGCAGGTTTTGCAGAACCCTTCAGAGAATCTGCTCTGGCAACAGGCTTCTTCTGAATATTATAATTTTCTTGATCATTGGCTGAGTCAATCTTTTCATAAGGATTTTCAATCACCTCATCTTGGTTTTTCTCTCCTGCAGAACTGTACGCAGCATTTGCTTCTTGTGATTCCCATGGATTAACTGTGCCCATTGGAGCAACATCCAGTTGATCAGATGGCTTTTGATGTGTCATAACATCTTGAATTGATTTAAAATTTTTCACAAGACTGTCATGCAATTTGTTCTCAACATCTCCATCCAGTATTGTAATATCATCTTGGGAACTCTCTTGAATGCTCTCCTCTTTAACATGAGGCTCCTGGCCCGACGTACTGCTTGTTTCTTTGTGATATTTATCATCAGGGATTTCAAGGCTCGCCTCACTTTCGCTCTGTTTTTGATTCATCCCATATGTCAAACAATCAAAGTTGTTTTTTTCATCTTTATCATCTTGGGATTTATTTTCTTGATTCTGCTCAGGCTGATCTGAGACGTCCTCCTGGTGAGCCACGTCAACATGATGAGAAAATCGTACAAACTTCCTGCTCTTGTCCAGACACTTAACTGTTGGATTATGGTTTGTTTTTGAGGTGGGTACCGTGTTTGTCTGCTGTGTTTTACGATTTGCTGCAGTAAAACCCTTTGCTATGGAGGGTGAAGTTAAGCTTGGTGCTGTTCGAGGGCTGCATTCCTGCTGGATGCTTCTAGCTTTGGTTGGCTCACTACAGGGGTTTGGTGTCTCTGGAGGTAATTCAGCTGAGTTAACTCCTGCCTTCTTTGATTGTTGCTCAACCCTCTTCTCTTTCATTTCTCCTCGGTGGTTGATCTTTGATTGGTTCTTCTCACATTTATTATTCTCTGTAAAGCTTACACCACAAGTAGCTGCTGCACCAATGTCAAGTACCTTATTCTTCAAAGTTGGTGTATATGTTCTCTGTGAAGTATCCATGTCTTTATTCTTCTTCTCAGGTGGCCAACTCATTTTTAGTTTGCCCTTAACATCAGCATCATTGTTAAACCCTGGCTCTCTCACAGAGGACTTTGGAACAAACACACTGGTGGAGAAATCCCTGGAGCCATTAGGAGTGTTTGCATTGGGTTTTGTAGTTTTGGGAGAGGACAAGTTGTCGGGCTCATCTATTCCTTTATTTTTCTGAATCCAGCGGTCTTTATGTTGTTTGTGACCAAATCCCTCATCATAATTTCCTTTTCTTTTAAAAAGCTGTCGAAAGTGAGTAATGCAGTAGAACTCGCCACAAAGAGATGAATAGTTGTGGATGCTGAAATAGAACAAAGCAATTGTGATATCAAACTACATTTTAAATGAGATACTGTTGATTTTTTTTCATATGATTTGTTAACCACAGTAGATCAGATTCGTAATTGTATTAATTTACAAAATCGTCAATTACAACGTACCTCATATACCTTAATTGCCAATATAGCATACAAACTTTACTTGTGTTTAAAACTAGAGTGCTGATTAGGATGAGTATAGTGGATTCCATCATACTGTAAATAAACCTCACCTGAGTTTCTTCTGACAGTGTTTACAGCAGAAACACATGTTGTGCAGGATAAGTTTATTGGCCACCATTTTTTCCATTGGATAGACGGGTGTCAAACAGGCAGAGCACATTTCCTTGGCAGGTGACTGGAACTATGACATTGAAAACAAATTCAGGTTTGTCATTACAAGACCTTTCTGCCATGTTTTTCATTTTCATTTCTCCACTTTCTACATTGGCATGATTTGTTATGATTTTCAGTCGTTCCTTTATTTTCCAAGAATAAATACTTGTACAAGCTATTCACAATATAATGTTTAACTATATTTATGTTGTAAATGCTTGAAAAGGGACTTATGAGACATATACATTATTGAGAGGATCCTTACTATTGACAATAAAAGATTATTACTGGCTGGCAGATGTAATGAAATTTTGGTCACCAGACAGTTAAATCAAACATTTATGATGGAGGTACTGGTTTGCAGCTCTAAATATATACCAATATTGAATTCTAAGTAAAGAAAGCAATTATGAGGCTTAGGCTAAAGGGCTATTGGAGCTATTTGGTTGTCTTCATATGATGTTAATTCAAATGTGAATGATATTTACGTCAATAAAAAGAGAAGACTTTTGAATTGATCATGTCCTCAATCCATAACTGTACTGAACGTGCCAAAATTACATTTATAGTGATGACACTGATGTGTTAATTTAGATTGAAGACATGATGCAAATTGATAATGCAAAAGAGGGATGATAGAAACACACAGTAACAGCTTTATCATTGGACTGAAGATATTTCTGTTCACATTTTGAGACTATTTCTTCAGACAACTTAAAGAAAAGGTTCACCATTTTGGAAAATAAATAACTTGTTGCCTGGCAACGCCTCTCTGACAAGTGGTCTGGCACATACATTTAACAGTAAAAGACAAAAAACCTTGAGGTGTAATAAAGGGACACCAGTAAAATATATATTCATACGTTTTTATTTCTCAATTTACACAACAGAACATACAATATTAACTTTATGCTAAGCTTTGATAAAAAGAACTTAATACTTTATCAAATGGTTACAGTATAAAATCTATTTGACACATTTTTTTCAATAAAAAGTACACATTTTTTGTTATTTTAGATCATCAACATTATGACTAACAAAATCTTTTAATTATCATAATTTGATAAACACACAACTGCATTCCTAAAAAAAGGACTGGGAAATACTGTCTGATAAGTGGCTTTTTTAGTGCTTTTCTTTTGGTTGGCTGAATGTGACAAACACTGTCCCCTCCTCCTTGGGGTTGCTCAACACTTTGTTTTCAAAAGGGCGACCAGATCTTCGCATTAATGGGGATGTCATGACTTCATATCTGGTTGGACTCCCACCAACTTCAAACAGAGCAGATGATTTAGCATCAGATTGTTTGGTGACAACTGTGGAAGTCGTGGAGGAAACAAATATGTTGCCAAATCCATCAGACTCTTCGTATGTTTCACTAACTGTCTTTGTGCCAACTACTCCTGCAGGTTGCTCTGGAACAGTTTTCACCTCAAGCACACTGACTTTGCGTTGTGCAGGACTGTGACTGCCATCTGTTTTTGGTTTAAATGTCGAAAGGGGCAGCTTTGGTTGTTCGGCAGGCTTTCTGGCAGCTGAGTGAATGGAGATAAATGATGGGGAGGACTGGGAAGAGGACTGTCTGATGAGTGGCTTATTGTGCACTTGTCTGGGCACTTCTTGCTTGGAAGGACTTGAATCCGAAACCGTTCGCAGATTAACGTCAGTTGTCTCTTTGCTTTGGCCTGATTTGGACTTGCTTGACACAATACTTATTTTTCTAATGTTGTTGGCAGGTTGATGGTTTTGCTCAGAGTTTAGAGATTCGTCAAATAGTCCTGACAATCCTACGATGTCAGCCTCAGACTTCAGATTGGAAACAGAGTACAAAGCCTTTTTAATTGTCTCTTCAATCTCAATAAGTTTGGCTAAAGTCTCTTGCTTCAGATTTGTTATTTCTTTACTTGCCTTTTCCAGGTCTTCAAACGCAGTCTCGACTGAAGAGATGCTTTCCAAATCATCTTCCTGCATTTCTACTTCAACTTTCTCTTCCTCTCTTTTACTTTGCTTTGCATTTGTGCTTGGTGTATCCATCCAATCAGGGACATTATTGTATAATTTCTTTAAGGATCTATTGTCAACACTGCTGGTGTCATCCTCTATCTCTTGAACCTGAGACAGGATTCCTTTGAGTTCCTCTCGTTTTCTCAAATTTTCAAAAATTTCCATGGCTGCCATCACATTTCCCTTCATGATCTCCTCCTTGTGGACAGAAAGCCTCTGTCGCCGTTCATCCTCTGTCTCTTTCACTTTCTTTTCTCTAAGAACAACTTTATCCTCAAGCTTTTGATGCTTTTCATTGAGGTGGTTCTGCTCTAAATGACATGTGTCAACCAGACTCACGGTCTCTGACATTGGCCCCTCAGTCTTGCTGTGTTGTTTTTTTGGATCTTTGGAACTTGATTTGTGTTGGTGAGTTGTGATTTTGTTGACATAGTTACTGTCACTATCGTTTGTTACTTTTACCCTTTTGGATAACTGTGGGACTTGTCTGTCCAGAGCCTCACGCTCCTTTTGTTCAAAGTTCTGCAGCGCAGTCTGCAAGCTCATGCTCATTTCATGTTTACCTTCTTCTGCATAATTCTTCATACACATCTGAATCTCCTCAGCTGCATTAATTTTATGTATAACATTTCTCTCCATTTCCACAGTGCTGTGTTTTACTTGGCAGTCTGATTTTCCCTCTGTATGTGGTGTTGGTTTCTTTTTATTCTTGGATTCCTTAGTCTTTGACTCTATTGATTGACATTCATTTGCTTGATTTGAATCTTTCATCATCACCCATTTTTGGTGGTGAGTTTCCTTTAAGGTTTCCATGTTGATTTTGTTTTCTTGTAGTTTATCTGTAAAGGGCATTGGAAACTGGTTGCTTTGGTTTGGAGGAATCATTGCACATTTTCCACTGTCTTTGATCAGGCAATCAAATTCGTGAGCAGAGGGAAGTGGAATATTTGGTTCCTCCACGGTTACTGATTTCATCCATAGCGGCTTTGGTGGTAAGGATGGCTTCTGCTCTTGTAGTTTCTCACTAATCTTTTGAGGGAGTGGTGGTGGAGTTAAACTTTCAGACCTGGGTGATTTTGACCTTCCATTTGCAACAGGGTTGGGTGTTGGATTCTGTGTTGTAATGGATGGTTGTCCTTCACAGGTTACTGAAATTGAAGGAGACAATTTTGTGTCAGATGGAGGCATAGACACCACAACACACTGCTCTTGAACAGCTTTGCTCCTCCCTGAACAAACCCTACCCGAGTTCCTGTATATCATTGCAGCCTTATAGTCTCCTTTGGATACATTTACACTAGATTTCTCAAGAGACTGCAGAGCCAATTGAACATTACCTCTTACAATATCTTCTTTATCTAGGGGCTTCTGCTCTGTCACTGCAGTCTGCAGCGACCTAATGGCTGCCTTCACATCTCCTCTGATTACTTCTTCTCTCTCTTCTTCTGTTGTCTGGCCATTGCATTCATAACTTACAAAAGGTGGCAGTGAGTCTAATGCACAACTACTGACTATAACTGCTCTTTGTTGACAAGCCTCAAAGGAAATATGGCTTTCTTGATCTTTCACTGCATCACTGACCTTTGGATAAGTCCTGATTTGCTGGCATCTGGAGGAGGATGAGCTTGTAGATTGCTTCACTGCTGATGAGCTTTCATCTTGTGCTGAGACATTAAGGTTGTAAATATTTCCAGGAACAATGACTTCACGCTCCAGATGCATGCTTTGCTGCTTAGCCATTTCAAGGGACCTTTTAGCCGCTTTCACATCTCCGGATAGAATGACCTCTTTTTGTGATGTGCTCCCTTCTATTTCAGGACCTTGGGCTGATAAATCCATGTCATAGATAGTTCCAGGTTTAATGATCTCCCGCTCCACATTCATGCTCTGTTGCTTTGCACGTTCTAATGACTGCATTGTTGCCTTAACGTCCCCAGCAACTACTTCCTCTTTTTCTACTGTGACAGGTTGCTTTACTGCAAGTTGTTGCTTTGCTGATGAGACATCTCCAGGAACTATTTCTTCCTTTGGAACACAGTTCTCAACACTGACAGTAGACTCTGATGAAAACACTTTTTTGGTATTCTCTACATCTCCTGGCAAAACATCGGAAATGGTTCGCTCCACCTGATCTTTCTGCTGGCAGAGATTCCTCTTTGCTTCTTTCACATCCCCCTGAACTATTTCTATCTGTTCTTTAGCAGGAAGGCTACAATCAACTTCATCTCCAGACAACTCAGTATGAAGACTTTTCAGGTAGTGCAGATCTCCTTTCTCAATGCAGCTTTTGTACAAGTTCACGTTTCCCTTTTCAGTTTCATCGACTCTGCACGACACTGCAGTCCTCTGACTATTGGCAGTAGACAACAGATTTCCAATTGTAGACTTCACATCTCCTCTCTCTGTGGCATAACTCTTGGCTTTGGTTTCATAATTGCAGATGAGAGAGTAAACTGTCATCTCTGCTTGTCCTTCTGCAGTCTCTTGCATTATGACTCCTTTTTTCAAAACCTTATCTTGATCAAACACTTCCTCAATCATCTGGACAATATTTTGTATCCGTTGATCCCTCTCAAGCTTGATTGTTGTGGCTGACTGGTAGACTGGAAGTTCTACTACAGTGGTGTTCACTTTACCCTTCTCCACCTCTCTCAGAAGAGTAACTTGGGGCTTGAGAGTTGGTTTAATTAACAGTTGGAACATGATGTTCCTGATGTTACCCCTGATAACCTCTTCTTTCTGTATTTGCACACCTTCATTGCTTTCAACCAGATATTTAGCCATGTTAACACTTCTACTCTCATTTGCTTCAATTATGATGCCACTTGAGTGAACATGGGACATTTGGTAGAGATATGATAGGGTGTCAGCAACACTGTTGGCAGTGATTTTGTCCAATGGAGTTGTCTCAAAGAGCCAGGTAGTGCACTCCACATCAGCTCTTGGTATCTCCTCCTTGCCACCTTGCTCTGAGGTATCCTCTGGCTCTTTTATTTTGTCTAGAGGCTGGGATTCAAACAGCCAAGTGCAGCGTTTCACATCTCCTTTCTGGCTGTCTTCTCTGTGGACTGTTTTTACTGGACCTTGCTCCTGATGTTCACCTTTCAGACTGTCAATCGATTGATTCTCAAAGAGCCAGGTGGAGGTCCTGACATCACCGTGTTGGACATCAGTGACACTAACCATTCGCACAAACTTGTTGGATGACTGTTCCGATTCAAATAACTCTTTATTGAGCTGCACGTTACTGCTTCCAAAGTCTTCAGTGACCCTAACAGAAGACTCCTCGTGGCTGGTGAGAGAGTCCAAAGGTTGCGTCTCAAACTTCCATCTGGCTGATTTGACATCGCCTTTCTTGACATCTTCTTGGGTGACGGCTCGGATCACATAAACTTCATTTTCTGCCTTGATGGCATCAAGTGGTTTTGTTTCAAACATCCACCTTGCTCCTCTTACGTCAGCACTCATCACCTCCTCTTTTTTCACAGTTGTGACCTCATGGAATTGTCCCTCTTTGTCTCTGATGGCATATAGCGGCAGGGACTCAAACATCATGGTGCTTGATTTCACATCCACATTGCTCGCAGGCTCTTCTGCAGCAACCAATTTCTGCTCAAGGGGTTCATTGTGGATTTTGTCCAGTGAGGAGGTTTCAAATATAAACTTTTTGTTCTGGACATCCCCACTCACAGCTCCACTCACTGTCTGAATGTTTGCATCAACGTTGTCCTTATTAATGAGGTTCATGGGACGGTTCTCAAACATCCAAGTTAACTTATGTGCTGAACCTCTTTCAATGGGTTCACCTTGGTTCTGTTCATCACACATTGTCTCCATTTCTAATCCTATTTCATCAAGTGACTGGGATTCAAAAAGTTCTTTGACTCGTGAGACATCTCCTGACTGGAAGTCGACGTGGCTGACACATCTCATGTCTTTGTCTGAATTTGTATCCTGTCTAATTCTGTCTAAGGTTTCTGTTTCAAAAAGATATTTGACTGTTTGAACACCAACCTCTGATTTAACAGAGTCCTGCACGGTGCTGCAGAGATTCAAATTGTACTCCTCCCCATCTTTGATGCTGTCAAGAGGTTGTGATTCAAAAAGCCAAGTGATGGACTTGACATTGGTGTTGTCGGTGGCTTCTTTATCTTTGACTTTATCTGATTTGTTAGGCAAAATGCCCGTTGATTGTGTTTCAAATAACCATTTACAAGCCTTGACATCACCTTTATGACACTCCTGTTCAACAGAGGCATTTTGCTCTGTCTGGTTGAACTTAGAATGGATCCCATCTATTGTCTGGGTTTCAAAAAGCCACTTTGCCATCTTGACATCACCCTTCGTATCCTCTTGTCTGGTGATGCCTTTGATAACCTCGACATTTCCTTTTCCTTCTGCAAGCTCGTCTAATGGCTTTGTCTCAAACATCCACTTGTAGTTGTTAACCTTGCCTTTGATTAATTCTTCTCGGCTGACTGTTGTGACCTTGTGGAGGTTTCCAGAGCTGTCCTTTATTGCGTATAAATGAGGTGTCTCAAACATTGCTCCGATACCTTTCATGTGTCCTGCTGTAGTGGCATTTTCCTTCTCAATAATCTCTTCATCAGAATGAGCAATTTTGCTCAGAGGGATTGTTTCAAAAAGATGTTTGAATCCCTTGACGTCACCCTTTTCAATCTCTTGTTTTTTGAATGAGGTGTTCTTTTCGGTACTGCAGCTCTCAAACATTCTTTTTCGACCTTTTACTTCTCCTTGTTCATCAGCTGAAAGGGTAATTTTCTTCAGACGTCCAACTTCATAGGTATCACTAAGAGTCTCCATGGGTTGAGTTTCAAACAACCACAAAGAAGTTTTGATGTCCCCTCCAATTATTTCTTCCTTTTCCAAAGATTTTTCTGCTGAATCTCCTCTCAGTGACGCCAAAGGCTGTGTTTCAAAATACTTCCTCTTGTTGACAACATCAGCCTCTCCACTGCATTCAGCCACTGTTCCTTCAAACTTGTCCACACCCACAACCTCTTGTATTGTGCCGAACGGCTGAGTTTCAAACATCCACCTCTTTTGGTCAACTCCACCTCTATGCCCCTCTTCCATTGATATACCTCGAATGATTTTCACTCCATCAGTTCCCTTATTAATCAGGTCCAAAGGCTGGGTTTCAAAAAGCCAACGGGCAGTGCTGATGTTGTTGCTGTTGATCTCTTCCCTGCAGATGGATTTAATTTCGTGCATATTGCCACTGTTGTCTCTGATGGCACAGCAAGGTTCTGCCTGGAAGAGTTTCACAGTCTTCTGGACGTCTCCTTTCTGCTCCTGGAGCTCTGATTTCAGTTTCAGGAAGCTATAATCTTCTATGGAGTTACAGCGTCCCAAGTCACTCAGTGATTTTGACTCAAAAAGCAGCCGAGTCCCGGTTACGTCTCCTGGCTTGATGGGTTCTTTCAGCACTGCCTCAACCAGCTCACCTTCTTCTCTTTTTGATTTATTAAGAGAATCTAAGGGCTGGGTCTCAAACAGCCATGTTGATGTTCTCACATCACCTCTGACAGAGGTCTGTCTTTTAGCAGACATTTGTTGGGTGCTGTCAATATGCTCAAACATAGAAGATGTGCCTCTGACATCTCCACCTTTTAACTCCTCATCATCCAACATCTTCTTGGTTGCATGAGGGTCCCCAATGTTGGCCAGATTCCAGTTCTCAAAAATCCACCTCATGGACTGCACTTCACACTGATAAGCTGCATCTGCTGCATCAGTGTTTTCTGACTGCACTGCCTTCATTATTTCATCATCCACTGCATCATCAAGACTTGCCCGTAGATCAGGGTGGATGTGTTTAAAGAGTCTCTTCAGTTCACTCTTTTGCCGTTGATGATAGAACGTGGAGAAGGTTTCTTTAGGTGGAAGGATAGGGAGGGTACCACATGTTGGAGGCCCTTCATAGTCCAGGGGTCTAGGTGGTACAGGAGGAGGTGGAGGGAGAGGGAGGTCCTCTTCATCAAGAGAAGATTGTGAAACTGTGACTTTCCTGGCTGCGTCAGCCATCTTGAAATGAAAAACAGATGGGAGTAATAGTGTTAGGATTTAGTTATCAGAAAAAGTATTAGTGATGTTACATGCAAATAATAGAATGGCATGCATTTGACAAGTGAAGCATACTTTACCTTTCTCTGTGCTGACTTGCTGTTTTTCACTGCAAACCATCCTGTCACCACCATGCCATCATGTCACACCAGGATTAACGAAACACTTCATAGCTGTTAGTAGGCACACATTACCCGCACACATGCCCTATAGCGTGAGTGTGTCAAGTTACTCTAATAGCTTATCTTCTTTTTATCTCCACAGGAACACATGGATATATACACTTTGTAATCGTTTGACAGGTTAAAAGGTTTTGATCTGATTTTCAGGGTGAAGTCATATTTTAAAAATTGCTTATTTTTGGGCCACTTCGGGGCAGAAAACATGACACTGAGGTATTATCACATTGTTCATAAATTATGTTAACAAACTGTGTTAGATCCAGAGAAACTAGAGAATACTCCTCTCTCATTTCTTCTGTAAAACAACCTGAGGGAAATATGTTCTTAAGTAACTTATCACTTTCACTTAAATCTAGTGATCAGTGCTTGATATGGATTATAGCATCTTGTCAAGTGAAAATCAGCACTAATAATCCTTTAATTTCAAATCCAGTGTAGTGGACCACAGAGCCAGTGCGGCATTCATCACTATCCTAATACTCTTACCTACTGACTGTGCATAGTATTTGAAATTTAAGGGAATTATTTGTCAGTCAGTCATACTAATCTTTAGTTATTGCCAATTGAAATTTAGCGTTCAGCTTTTAAAAAATAATCTGCCCTGTGTGCTTTGAGTAATCTGCTGAAAATTGTGTAACAATCATTGGGCCACTAATCCTGTGAAGTTTACAACACCTGTGCCTATTGTTTTAAAGAAAGTTGTTTGTATATTTAGAGGTTAATGTGAGATAAGTAACAATTCATTTTAATGTGGTAGAAGAATACTGTGTAGTCTATGTATGTGACTAATAATACATATTTATGTCATTGCTTTGTTGATTCTTGATCACAAGGTCAACTGTTAAGTTTTTTTGATCATGCAAGCAAAGTAAAATAGTGAACTACCACAGCACACATTATTTAACAGCCACCACACTTTTTTTAAGGGATGAAATTGAAACAGTACCTTACTGCTTTTAGACCTTGTTGCTGAAGCACCAATGAATTCCTGCTGAACAAATGAAACATACAGTCATTAAATAATATAATGAGTATACATCAGCACAGCTCTGCACATGTGCTATATATTTAAAGAATGCAGTAGATTAAGTGTAAAATGTTGAGTGGCTCCTGTATTGTGACAGAGCATAGTGGTCATTCCCTGCTGACGCCCTTGACCTTGGTGTGTGGAAAGGAATGAGAGGAATGTTAGGAACTTACTGGCTGCGTTGGGCCTCCTGTGGAGTCGATGGCTGCTGCTCTTGACAAGTAAAGAGCGGATCTCTCTCTCACTGAGGAGGGAGTAGATATCCTGTCTCTGGTTGGTCTTGTTGGGGAGACCTCTTTAGTTGGCTCCAGACGAATTTTATCACCTGTATTAGACAAGAAAAAATCAATCCAATAAAACATATATAGAGAGATTGCAAATAATTTATTAGTGAATAATATATATATTCAAATCAGTTGATATTGATCATCATCACGATAATTGTCACATTATTACTTCTGTTAAGTTTAAAGACTGATTTTTGCTCCTGAGTGAAGGTTGTGATTTTAAATTCATCTTTATGAGCAGAGAATGACAAAAACATTTTACAAATCTGAAGACAATCAATTATGTGTTATACCTCCTCACTGTACTTACACAATAGATAAGCAATATATCAATATATTGGACTTTTGTTATATTGCTATTGATTATAGCAATAATCTATATAATATATATTATTTTGTTATAGTCAATGATATTGCTTAAATACCCACTCCTACAATTACTGTAATAAAAATGTTTTGTATCACTTTTGCTTATGTATAGATTCATTACACTTGTAAAAGTAGGATGCGTTCTGTATCCAAAAATAATCAAAGCAGAGTCTAGTGCCAGCAACAAGTTTAATGATAACACTGTGTGTGTGTGTGTGTGTGTGTGTATTTATAGTGATGTTCATAGTGTGTGTATTTATAGCGACATTGGATGCTTTCTTATCACTGTTAACTTGTGGAAACTATTTCCTCTGCCGCAAGGCCGACAGAATGGCATCCTCACAGTGGCTTTGAGTAGGTCGGCGCATATTATGATTTATTGTGCTAAAGAAAAAACAATGTAACAAACAAGTCAGTTTATAAAGCTTTGGAGGCTGACAAGACAGATAGAACCACACAGTCTGCCTGCTGCCTGCTGCCTGCTGCCTGTGACACCCATCAGACCGCATGCCATGGACCATGATACCCACGAAGACAGTGGAAAAAAAAACAGCAACTGCTAGCTCAGCTGGAGTGAAACAGATTGTTTGCACATTGTTTATGTGAGCTCTCTGCCTTCAAACCATCAACCCCTGACCAAAGGAATGTGACTGCCTGACCCCATGAAAAACATGGAAACAATCTCAGCTTTAACCTGCTGCTGAATGTTGCTACTATAACACTGTCAGCAACTAAAGGCAAATGTCCTAAAGCTGCCAAAAACATTTGGAATCTTATTGGTCAAGAGCAGATATGATAAATGCAGAAACTATTTGAACAACAGCACAGTGAACAATATGGCGAGAGGTCAACAGCTCAGTGTGTTGCACAGCCCATCCAGCTGTAACTAATGTCCAGATTTGAGCACACCTCTCCTTTTCACACACTAAGCCCTCATAGGACAAAAGGATGGACCAACAAGCCGGCGCCTCTCACGAGTGCGGACTTAAAGCATTTTGTATAGATGGGCGAGCAGACAGAATGAGGCCCCAGAGTGCCACGCACTCCTCGCCCACTGAACTGAGGGGTCAACTTCATCACTTATCATCCATTCATCATATCATCAGTATCAACAGCTGACACTGATTCATAAGAAGTGAATCAAAGACATTTCCTTTTTCTTTTTTAACATCTCTTTAAGCTGGGTTAATTCTCATGAATGAAGAGGAGCTATTAGCGGCACAGTAATGTGAGGGTGTTTTGGGCTGAGCTGGCAGCTGTACAAATGATGGTGAAATGCAGTTGGTATTTGTTCTTCATCGCCACCACCTTTGCCGCCATCAGCTGTTGCAGATTGTAGCCACATTCACAGACTGTAATGAAAACCTGCACGCCAAAAGGTGGCTCATGCTGGAGGGTCTCGGACCCCCCAAACAGCACGCACCAGCAGACAATAAAAGCCTTATTTATTTTTCCTTTTTTTACTAACCTATATGCTACTTATTGGTCAGTGAGTTACAGTCAGACTTTCCAGATAATAGAAAAAAGGGATATAACAAAGATGCCAAAAATATAGTCACAACAGTTACATTTTAGACCGTTTAAGAGGTTGATGATAAATCCTATAGTCAATCAACACAAATATCAAAGGCAACTTCTTTTATAATTCATAATTTCAGTCATTTTTAAAAGTAAACACAGTAGAGTCAATTATTCCACTTTCCCTAATGTCAGGATACGCTCCCTCTCTTTGTCATGTATCGTTATCATATCACCGATTATTTTTACAATATTCTTTGACATTTTAGAGACCAAACGACACATCAATAATCAAAGTAATTATTAGTTGCAAACTTAAATTGTTAAAGCTTTTATCCTTGTAATTAATTTTTGAAATTTAATTTTAGTAAAAAAAGTAAAGAGGATACACGAGACTCATTCTGCTTTACTACAGAATCAAACGATATTGGATGAACCACACGACCGTAAAACAAAACGATGTAATATAGCAGCCTTACTCTATTTCCATGAAGGTAATACTCACTAAAATTCAACCCAGTGTCGCTCTCACTCCTGTCCCTGTGTATCTCCACTGTGTTGTGGAAGAGTGACTCTCAAGGCCTCTGCGATGTGTGATACAGCCTGTCTCTTCTCTGCCCGTCACTTCTGTGACTGAACTCTTTCTAGTCCTGTGGCTTCAGTGACAGCTGATTTTTATCAGAGCCCGCTGCCTCAGTGGAAGACTTTGGCTATTTTTGGGAGGGTGGGCTGGCGGCTGAGTCAATCACCCCTGTTAGTCACTGAGAGACTGGGGCACCCCTCCACCTCCCATTCCCACAGATACATTGTCACCCACTATAACGGGCACTGGGTGGGACCGACAATATGTATGTCAGTGGGTGCTCCGAGGACATTAAAAATAAAATAGGAGCAGGAACACACTAAAGGTCCTAATTTGGAAAGATCAGTGGCATAAGTCTGTTCTTACCACTGTCATGTTTTCATTTGCATTTTGTAAAGTACAAAATCAATCAGTAATCAGTATCAGTAATCCAGTCAGTAATCTATTACACTCACATTCCTGCCTGTGTCTCACAGGGTCAAAGCATCAATAGGCTGCAGTGATATCAGTTCCAGGACGCAGAGTGGCACAACTCAGAGGGCCAAGGTCTGCGTCATGATCAGAGCGAGAGCCTCACTCCTATCTTAAGCATGTGTGCGCCAAACACATAGTTATGTATTTACACTCCGACATCCTTGTCTTTATTTAGCTGATTGATGATGCATCTCAGGGCCGAACAACACACTCTGTCAGGATTTACATGGTGACACTTCAAATACCACTTGCTCTTTGGGAACCTAAAACAGATTCATGTGAATAGGTCATATCTAAGCCTATCCGTAAAAATCTGACAGGAATACCAACATTAAATAGCTGGAATGGCTTGATTTCACGGGTTTTCAATGGTTATTATGAAATATGGCCCCAAAATACAACAGTGACCTCACGCCTGTGACGGAGCCCTGGCACTGATCCCACCTGCCCTATCACATCTCAGTGCCTGTTAACATGAAATACAGCACCACTGCTCACCGTGTGAGTATCTCCACATTTTGCCTTTCGTCTCTTGAGGTCCATTCACGGCCTTTCCCCTTTCCGTCTGGGTTGTTCCCTGTGGATCAACAATATATATTTATATATATTCACATATATTTTTCTACAGTTTCAAGTGGTCACATAAACTGTGTTCCCCTGCCTCTGGTCTTCGTGCTAAGCTAGGCTAACCACCTTCTGGCTCTAGGTATTAAGAGTTGATATAAGAATGGAATTAATCATCAAAATCCTAAAAATAGAATTGTTCCTTTGGAAACATGTGGTGCCAGATTGGTTTAAGATTTCAGAAAACATTTTTTTTTTCAGGGGCTGAAGCTATAAGTGTTTCATGACTAACTTCAATTTAATGTTGTAGTGCCAAATCACAGTATCAATTCTTTCAAGGTAAAAGAGAAAAAAAGGAGCAAACCCTGCGAGCTAGTTAGGCAGCCAACTCGAGCTGCACTGCTCCAATCATGTGACACACATCATGTGACATACCTCATTCTCCATCATCTATTATACACACCCACCTTATTAGGCAGCCTATTTAAGCAGAGAGAACCACTTTGCCCACACTGCTGTTCCAGTATCGCTACCAGTTGGTTCAGCCCCCCCACCACCCCAGCATTTACCTGTAGACTCCGCGGGGGGTTACAAGTATTTGCTTGTCACTCCCATCATATCTGTGTAATGATATCGGGGGAGCGATTGAGTCGGAGCCTAGAAGCCAAATACAAACCATATTCTACTACTGCAATAAACGGTTGAACGTGAGTTATCTGACTGAACTGTGTTAACTGGAAGTGTTAAATAAAGTGTTGGAGCTGGCCTGAGCTGTCTGGTGTTGGACTTGGCCAAGTATTGGTAAGAGTCTTCATCAAAACACTGATCTCTAAATTCTTGCAAATATCTGGTTGAGTCATGTTGTTATGTGATCATGTTAACATCATCTTTAAGACATTTCTCTTTCTGTGGATCATTGAGTTGCTGTGACAGTAAAGCACCAAGAACCACTGAGGACAATCGGTCCAGTTAAATACTGCATATAAAGCCCACATTACGTTTTCTCATGCATGAAACAATGGCCATTACTTCCACACCTGAATAGGGGCATCCTTCACTGGGCTGTTATGACCTCTCTGGTCCTGCAGAGGGCAGTCTCCCCTTGTTTTAATGCCAGCAGCAGACTTGATGTCCAGTCTGGTGCTGCTGTGGAAGTTCTGCTGCAATGAGGCCTTGGACTCAAACAGGGCACACAGAGCTCTGGTGCCTGATGACTCCTTCTGAGGGAGGAAGTCCATGGAGCGACTTCTGGACAGATTGGAGCTTCCTCCTGATCCCCAGTGGGCCACGTTCTCCCTGCTCTCTGTCCTCCCCCATCGATTGTTCACACTGCTCTCTAACACCCGGGAGGCAGCAGCTGAGTTCTGTGTTTGTTTTTTTACCTGGTTGTAATTTTAATGGTTAGCATATTATTAGTGATGATGGAAAAAGAAATATATAAATAATATATAAAAAAATATGCATTACCTGAAGCTTCTGATCCGCTTTTTCAAGGTTCCTGAGGTCACTGCAGCTTTGGTAGCTATAAACAAAGGTATTGAATAGAAATTATATATATATATTTTGAATATAATTTATTATTATGATTTTTGGGGTTTTAACTTAATGATCAGCTGGTAATTTGTAATAGGTAAAAATGAATTCAACTGTTTTATGTGCCCTTATAAACAGAGGCACTCCTTATTCCAGAAGACGACAATGCAGAGAAGCTGGAGGCAGCATGAGGCAGGAAAACCTCGCACACTCAGTCAGCATAGCTTCTTAAGGTAAGTAACACTGCACATATATTGCTTAGAACTTACTGTTGCACCAGCTGCGACACAGACTTCCTGCTCCAGCGGCTTGAAGCTGGCATGACCCATGAGCTCTCCTGAACCCCAGACAGACTCCTAAGGGACTGGGTCCTCCTCAGCCCAAAAGTCTCCATAGTCTGTCCCTAAAAGACGGATCGATGAGAGATCAATCATTCAATCGTAAACGTGTTTGTGTTTCCGGATCTTATAACAGCGTATTGTTATATTCAGAGCAGAAAAATAAATAAAACCATGAACTCTTTATTCATTTGTCTTTCTGAGAACTCCAGCACTTCCCGTAGGTTTAACTCAGTTTCCTTATGTAATAGGTGTCACAATGACAGTCATAAGACTCTGTTAATGTTTATGAAGATCTGCACTCAGACAGCAAATACAAAAAGACACCTCAGTATGACTCTGCTCTATTGTATGATAGATATATGATTATATTGTTTTAAATATATATACTCTGCCCTCTAAATAGAAAATATCTAAATTTAAACAGATTTTTAAAAATTTGAACTAATATTCCATACAGTTCTGCAGGTGAAGAAAACCATAAGTTACAAGATGAACACAGTTACAATATTATCATTGGAAATAGGTTGATTGTGTTCTGTTAAGAACATTAAGAAAAATATTCAACCATACCTGAAGAGAAGCAGAATAAGTCACCTGTGCATATCAGTCTGTCTGGCAGACTTGTGAGTTTAGGGGCATTTCTCACAAGACACAGCAGATTGTAGTGAGCAAAGTCCTCTAACAACTTGTGATTCAAGCCTTCCGGATATGATAATTGCTGCCATAACTTAAATCTAATCCTTGACACACCAATAAAAGACACAGGGACACAAGATTTATTTTATTATGCAAAGCAGATCACAAACTAAGAATAGTTTAAACATGGAATATGTTATTTTCTGTCCGCTGCTGGTGATGACAGTATGGGGCATGAAAAAATGCAGAGACAAACCAGAGAGCAGAGCTGGTGTGTACAATGACAGCTGGTTCAGTCAGATGTCAGTTTTGAAATGCCAGACATAGCCTCTCTGTTACTGTATCTCATGAGCAGCAGCATTTCTTCTCCACCTCACATGCTTACTATTAGTGACCTTACTGCTGGAGCAGGAGTCACATTCATTCACTCATTCACATAACGTGCCAGTATTCTTTAATGTGCTTCGATGATAGTGTGGTAAGCTGCTGGAGCTTTTCTGCCATCACAGGTCTCAAAGTACAGGAAAAGCTGCATGGAGCTCATGTTGATGATTACAGCCAGAGATCAAACTGTCAAGTTACAATTCTGGCTTAGTTTTGGCACAAGATGTTCAAAAGGGAACTTTATATTTTACTTAACTAGGACACAGGAAACATGAGGTAGCCAGTAACTTTAAAGATTCACTAGTGTGCTGTTTATTTAATCTAAAATATGACAGATAAAGTTCCTTTAATCCACATTTTTGTTTTGTTATTTTTATATCTGGTTGCAAAATGCAAATGAAAAATACTCATGTCCTGTTTATTGCACCCCCAAACCCTGTCGTGTAAGTTTTTATTGTATTGTTTATGGTCACTTTATCAAACTCTAGGCTGATTTCCGTTTTAGCCTATAAACAACAGTAGAAACTGAATGTGCAACAGTCATGACTGGCATCAGAAAGAGCAAAGCAACAGAGCTTTGTGTTTAACTATATATTCTTTAACTCAGAAGCTAAGTAAGCAAACATATTCTAACATGGCTAGCAGTTTCTTCTTTACTTAGTAGTTGCTTGTATTTTGGTGTTTACCTTGGTGTAAACATTAAATCTGCTGTAATATATATTTTCATATTAACCATGGATCAGATGACTAATTGTATATTAAGTAGCACCCGAGTGATATGTATTTTTGTCGTCTCTTCAGAATAGATATCCTTAAACTTACTTCAGCTAACTTCATTGTTAAAGGTTCATGTTCACTACTCTCATCACTCAGCTGGACACTGTTTCTGACTCATTGAGGTAAAAACCCACTGTACACTAGTGACTAAATTATGAACATAGTTAATAACTTATAACAAGTCTTTCACAAAATAGATTCAATGATGTGGGGCTTTGCTCCAAGCTATACAGCTAACACTAAACTATGAATAACTTAAAATGTGCTCCTTACTGAATCAGGAATGGTGTTTGGATGTTGGACATATAACTGGCCACCTATCTGTAAATTGTGGCCCCTATGTGGCCCCTATGTGGCCCCTGATTTTGAAAAATTCTAGATCCACCACTATGTAAAAGGAGTGAGAATATTGGGCATCAGGTACAAAGGTGCTATCAGGTGTCAGTCTATATAAACTGTTTCTGACTAAGCTGCCACTTTCATGTTTTGTATTCTTAAAGGCCCTTTTAAAATTTTTACATTTTAGACATTGTCATCAGTCAGTATGTGTTCCACTTCCTTTATTTGATGCCTTTGTTTGTCATTAAAATCAACCATATCATTTTCTAGTAAAGAAGATGGCTCAGTCATTACCTCATGTAAAAAATAACATCTATTTCCGTCTCAATGTTGTTTTCGAGCCAGGAGATGGCACCAGAGCCACACACCTCCCGCCATCTACAAAATGTGGTTAAAGGGCATCATAGCTGCTGGTTTTCTGAGAGAACCTGTCTTGATGCACTGACAACTGAGGTGAGCACACATGCATACATGGCAGCTGTATGCAGCACTAAAGGATTACTGGATTGCATTTGTTCAAAACACATCTAATGCAACTTTAGAGTATCATAGTACACATTAGTGCTGTCAGACTCAGATATCGCTGATTGTACAATATTGCTTCTGAGTTGTGTCTCTGTTGTGTTATCAGCCGTTAATGCATGTGCTTTGCCAGCTGCGGTGGAAAAGAGGCAATCAGAGAGGGATTGAGTGTGTCGTGGGAGGGGTGGGCGGGTGGGGGAGTCAGACAGTCTCACCCACACTGCTTCACAGAACAGTGAGTTCTGGCCTGAACAGCTGAGAGCAGGTCTCCTTCCTCCTCCTGCTGCTGCTGCATGCTCCTGCGAAAGCCTCACATGGAGTCACATGTGACAGCCAAACACCAACAGCAGAATACACTGTGCTGGAGCTCAGAGAGCACAGGAGCTCCCACTGCAGGGCTGACAGACACAATCAGAGGCACTAGGAAAACAGGAACACACAACGTGTGTGCACACTTTCAACTATGTCTGTTATTGTGAATGCGTATAAAGCAGTTAAACAGAGACATAAAGAGATGTACTCTGACATGTATTTACAAGAGATATATACAGCTGAGCAGTGGAACATTGTACCATATGTTCCTTCAAGGAAAATGTATTTTGCGTCCACATAGCGACACACAGGCTAGTTTGTTAGTGTGTAAGAAAGGTCACCACAGCTCCCTGGCTAATGTTGACAAGAGACTCATTGTTGAAGGGGGAATGTCAAAGCCAATCACACAGCTGCTTTGCTGTTACAGCTTGCACTGCTCACATGCAGACAGATAAGATCACTTCTGTTCAAAACTGTACTTGTGTAACCTACTTTGCACTCAGCTGCTGCTTGTATTGCTTTTGCAAAAATACAGTGATCATACATGGAGGAGGTTTGAAGAGGTAAAGATGGGTAAAAAAAAGTCCCTTTAATAAAAATAAATACATGAATTAAATCATATCAGTTTTAAAATGCTATATCTACAGTACATAGCCATATTGTTAAGTGTATCCGCTTTGAGCCCTTCTGTTCCTATAGCACTGACAAGGCTGATAAGAGAAGGCACGTGAATTATACATTGAGGTTCATCTCAGTACATGCTCTATGTATGCAGGTTACTCTTCGTTATATAATAGATCTCTTACAGATTCATTTTTTAAGTCTACATGTTACACTGAGAGCAGCCTCTCGGACTCCAGGTTGTGGTAGCCCTACAGAGATATGATATCACCCCTGGAGAAGGGCCAGCATTAGGCAGCCGTACCATCGGCACAAGGCCAGGGCTTACCATTAGGGTGTCACAGGAAGTTCTCCGGTGTCACCCCCCCCTGAAATGATACCACAGCACAGACAAAAGAGTGGCAGTTCATGCATCACTTAAGGTGTCACTGTTGTGACATTTTCTTTATCTGATGGCATTTCCTCAGCAGAGAAAGTGAGGATGGTGTCTCTTTAAGAGACGTTTGGCACAAAGTTAAGTTTAAAGCCCCTAATTCTAGTTTCTATTCAATATTTTAACCGATCACAGCAGGATTCTACACAAGCACAATGTTTTCTGCCAATGTGAGAGCAGTTTCACAAGATAACCACATGCCTGGATTTACCTGCATTCACTGGATTAAAGGGGGTGGAACTCATTTGGGAAAAGATGACGTCACTTGCTGTATTTTCAGGCACCATCCAAAGTCAAGCAACATTTGATTCAAAATATGATACTCATTGGGAGGTAGAGGTGCAGAGATTAACTGTTAGATGTGAGGAGGACAAATCTCCATACAATAAAAAATAAATCTTTGAAGGAAACCCTCTATCTTCCCCTGAACTCACATGCCTCTTATGTGTGGCCCTCCTGTCTCTTGCTGTGAACACGTATATCTGAGGTATCTGTTAAGGATGGAGCCCATTTATTGGTGCACTGATTGTGAAAGTGTATGTTATATTATGTTATGTTTCTTCTAATCTAAAAAGATCTGTAGATATAGTGGACAACAGTTATTGTCAGCTGAAGACCAAATATGGACAGGCAATTAGTAGCTACACATCAAGCTTATTATCTGACATGAGGTATAAGAGGTTACAGGTTTACAGGTGGGGAGTTAAGGTTTAACCCAATTGTTTATAGTTATAGGAAGAAAAAAGGAGAATCAAGCGAGACAGTGAACTAGGTACCTACATTGTCAGAGGTAATGGAAATATGAATATACAAGTGCAATGAATCACATTGTGAACTTTGATACTCTGATTCGATTGAGTTAACATATTCTCTCCCTGAAACATGGCCACAACCAGAGCTCAATTTGTCCCCAATCACTTTCCTGCCTGAAGCCATCCACCATGTTTCCACATTGAAAGAAATGTGTGACAGCCATGTTGAAAACTGTCTGAAATTCTAAACTGCATGTGCAACCAAAGTCTATCATAA